GTTTATATATAAAATAAAAGTTTACTAAATCAGTGAAATTAAGTAACCATTTTTGCCATCATGGTCATAAATTTGAAAAAAAAAAAAAAATGTAACCTCATATACATACTTAAACTTGATGTTAAAATAATCCTACATAATGTAATGGATTCTAATACATTTAACTGTTCTTAAAAAGAATATAGTAAAATAAAAATTAAAAAGGAGAATATTTCAAATCGTAGTTAAATAAAAAGTATTAGGAAAAAAAAAACCCAAAAATCTTTAAATTTAAAAAATGACGTTGAAATTTTTTACTGTTAACAGCTTTTTTTTTTAAAAAAAAATCAGACGACATCCATTTAACTGATGTCAGGTTTCATTGTAAAATACATCCCTACCCTTACCAAATTGTAGCTAATAACTGATACAATGATACTGACATAAGGAAAATCTAGACATCCCTTGTTCAATGTAAGTAGAATATTCTGTAACCATGGAAACGTGATTTTAGCTGTGTCTTTAAAACCCGGTAATTTTTAAAAGTTACTCCAAAATTCGCTTGAAGATGAAATGGAACTAATGCTTTTAATTTAATTGCAAAATTAAATTCGGGGTTTTTAGCTTCTATTTTTGAAACATGGTTGGAACTGTGTAGCGAAGAAAAACCATATTTTAAGTCAATTAATTTATAATATATATATATATATATATATATATATATATTATCAAGGACTTTTGATTTTTATTATGTTGTCAGTTTAATTTTCAGATATCTTTTGATTTGGTGTGTTCACTTTTAATTACAGCGTTTCACATATTCACATAAAAGTTTGTGTCATATATTTATTTTAATCTTCACTAACCTTACAAGGATGCAAACTATAAAAAGCAACTACAATTGCTCCAGGTATTGAGCATAAAAGACAAGCAACTCAGCCTCAGATTTGGGACCTAACATTTATAAAAGAAACAGGAAGGGTCACTTTTTCACTTTTCCCCTTCTTTGATCTTCTAGTGGCCTAGATATAGACCCTGCTTTAAGGAGTAGTGATCTGAAGATTGCTATCATGCAGTGTTTTCCATACATAAACATGCCTGTTTGTAAGAAATAATGTGAAAGAAGACTCATCAGACAAAATAACATTTTTCCATTTCTTAAGTTTTTGTGATCACCATTTTTTCTCAACTTGGCATTCGACTTTGTGATCAGAGGTTTAGGAATTACAGCCCTTCCATGGATACCAGTTTTGTGGAGCTCCTGACATACTGTGCATTTAGAAACTATATTAGGCAAGTAATGAGTTCTGAGGTCACTTTTGCTGCAGTAGTTTTATGATTTTTTGCCACAATTCATTTTAAAGTTTGTTGGTCTCTTTTGGTCAACTTTGGTTTCCATCCACTATTTCTCATTGCTGATGATGTTTTGCCTTGTTTTGTGCAAGCTGTCATAACCGTGGACACTACAGCTCATGATACATTCAATAATTCAGACATTTTGGTCACAGATGCTCCACTTTCATGTGAATATGTAAAATACCATATTTAAAAGCAAACACATTAAAGCATACAAGATATTTCAAAATGGACCTGATGACATAACAAAAACTAAAAGTCTTTGATAATTGCTAATGCTAGCTGAAAGTACTGAGACATAGGAAAATATCTTTTCACATATGAACCTGAAATCAAAAAAAGAAAAATTAACATGGAACTTTCACTGGTATTTCACCAAACTAGTCAGGAGCCAACAGATTTTATCACTTTAAATGTTATTTTAGTGGTTACTAAAATAATATTCAAAGTCATATATATATATATCTATGTATATATATTGTAAGAATATAAACAGCTATTATCTCCCCTTGGTCGAGATAGTCACATGGGTCATGTGACTGCTGCTTAGTGATGTCAATACATAGTGATGACAGTGGTCTGTCCTTCATTCAGTCAGTAAGCTTACTGGTGTCAAGACACATGTGTTGTTTATCCAGCTAGGGCTTCTGTCTGGGGTAACCAGCTGCCAAATGCTATAGCTTATAAGTCCATGGTGCCATTTCCCTTTCCACTTTTCCTATATATAAAGCTTTGACTAGCAGTCTTCAATTTGGGAAAACCCAAGATTCACAAAATATGTCCTCACTTGGGATATAGTAGATGAATCTGACCCATTTGAATCTGGAGTTCTAAAAATGGCTTCTCCAGAAACACCAGAATCTCCATATTATATGTAAGACCCTATCTTTTTGTTCTTCTTGCACTCTACTTGCTGTGTAGATATATCTGATAATTTTTCTCTCTGCGGGAAACATGTGTAAATATATATATATAGTTTTGTGTATGTCTTAGTGGTAAAAATGTCTCTCTGAGAACAAAGCATGTTGTCATTCTTTTTTCTTTCAGTCATTCCATTCTATCCATGAAATATGGTGTTATTATATCATGGATATAATAATGCCCATAATGGGGAAATAAAAATGAGTAAATAAACCTTTCTTCTATAGCTCTCTCTTATTATAAGGTAGGTTAAATTAGATTATGTTGGCTGATTTTATGACATGTCAACCCTTGTTAGATTATTTAATATTGTAATTTTGTATGAGGTACCTAGTGTGGATCAAGTTCAAAACTCAGTAGTAATGGTCAACAAGACAAGTCTAACTAATCACTAACCAAATTTCAAGGCATCTCTCTCTCTCTCTCTATATATATATATATATATATATAACTGTAAGCTCTTATTCTAATTCTGGTTCATGACCCTCTTCTCATTACTTGTGCATATTTATATTTTATTTGTACATGGTATTGGTGTGTAAGTAAATATAACAAACTTGACTGGAATTGGAACTCAGCTTTCTGATTTCGAGCTGTAATCTATCATGGCACTCGCACATACAGCACCTGGTATTCTCAAGTAGTCATCCTTCTAGATACTGACCAAGCTCAATGTTGCTTAATTTTGGTGATTGTATAGAGAACCAATGTTTCAATGTGATATGGCCATAAAAAATAGAGAATTTTTTAGAAATGTGGCACTTTAGAACTGCTGTTATACCTATAATAATTGGAGCCTCAAATATAATAAAAAAAATACAGAGAAGAATACTAATAAGATCCCTGGTAGCCCCTATTTACAAAATGTTAAAAAAATGTTGCCCTGTGTCAAACTGTTCATATATATATATATATATATATATATATATATATATATATATATATATATACACACACACAGTGGGTAGCAAAAGTATTTAACACATTGTTTTTTCTTACATATCTCAAAAAATAACAGATCAATTTCAACGAAACTTATAGGAAATATTTAAACGAACGTTGTCAATCAAAACATAGAAGGAAAATTTAAAACCACTGTTTTGAGAAACATTTATTAACAATAAATAAAATAACCCATATGCAAAAGTATTTAACACACTTTACTAATATTTAGTACAGTAGCCTCTGTTCTGCTTCACAGCCTCCAGTCGTTTCCCGTAGTCTTCAACTAGTTTCTTGCAGGTACTTGTTGGTATTTTGACCCATTCTTTTTCACAAATTTTCTTCAATTTGTTTAAATTCGATGGATTTTTTTTATGAACTCGTAACTTCAATAGTTTCCACAAATTTTCGATTGGATTTAAATCCGGTGACTGGCTTGGCCATTCCAGGATATTAATGTCATTATTATTAAACCAATTCTTAGTTGTTTTAGCAGTATGCTTCGGGTCATTGTCTTGCTGAAATACAAAATCACGACCATGTCCCAAACATGTAGCACTGTTCAAGAATTGGGTTGACAAAATTTGAGTGTATTTTGCAGCATTCATTGTTCCTTCAATGATTTTCCTTTTTCCTACTCCATTTGAGGAAAAACAATTCCACATCATAATATTTCAACCCCCATGTTTGACTGTAGGGATGGTAATTGCTGGCTTGTATTCCGCTCTTTTTTCCTCCATACATGAGTGCGCATGTTTCGTCCGTAAAGCTCAAATTACTTTCTCCCAGAAATCATTAGATTCAATTTCATATTTCTTTACAAAATTCAAACGGGCTTGTACATATCGGCATTTCAGTAATTGAGTCTTTCTTGGTGATCTTGACGTGAGACCTGCACGATTTAGTGATCTTTTAATTGTATCTTTACTAACTTCAATTCCGGCATTTTTCAAATCATTCTGAATTTCTCAACAAGTTGAAAATGGATTTTTCTTCACAGTACGGGAAATGTATCGCTCATTAGCCTCATTTAAGATACGGGGACGACCACTCCTTTGAATGCTTTCAATAGTATCGAATTTTTTCCATTTTTGAACAACAGCACCAACTGTACTCACAAGCAAATTCAAATCTTGAGCAATCTTTCTATATCCCTTACCATCTTTGTGATTCTTTATGATCTTCTTGTGCATCTCGTTCGACAATTCTTTTGTTTTCACCATTTTCTTGCAGTAGTGGCAACAGAATAGCTGCAGTGTCTCAGAGCTGTTATCTAATAGCCAGTTGAGTGTCGTGCAGTGCTCTTATTGGTCGACATATCACATCATATCAATATGAGTAGGAATCATGACGACACGTCTCTTCTAACATAATATTTGCATTGGTGTTAAATACTTTTGCATATGGGTTATTTTACTTATTGTTAATAAATGTTTCTCAAAACAGTGGTTTTAAATTTTCGTTCTATGTTTTGATCGACAATGTTCATTTAAATATTTCCCATAAGTTTCGTTGAAATTGATCTGTTATTTTTTTGAGATATGTAAGAAAAACCAATATGTTAAATACTTTTGCTACCAACTATATATATATATATATATATATATATATATATATATATATATATATATACACTGTACATGTTAAGTATAACATCAGAATTTATACAAACACAAGGTATACATTTACTACCTTGCCTTCCCCTAGGTTTCAGGTAATGAGCCAGTTAGGGACTGTACTGAACTGAAAACAAATGATGATGAGAGTAGCAACAATTTAATTTCCTTTTATCTTATTTGCAGGTTACAGCAAATTGCTCCATCCTCAAAATTCATCCCAAGTACCTGTCCTTGATCAAGATTTCTCTTTGGTCTGTGACATTGGACCCTTGGACATGATACATGTCAAATGGTTTAATGAACAAGGCAAGATAACTGCACATTTCATCCACTGTCAAGCCATACACAAAGAAAGCACAAACAGCAAATATGCACCCCCAGTGCCTGGGAGAAACATAACATGTAATAGTAAAGAAAGGACATCAACTCTCACAATAAGTCCTGTTCAGATGAGCCTTGATGGTACCACAGTTGGGTGTTTTGATCAAGGTGATGGAGACTTCTACCTGTATACATTTACAGTCCATGGTAAGAAATTGTATTTTTTCAAATTTTAAAATTCTTTTCAATCCTTACCCTGTACTGTCTGAAGGCTGAGATAATTATGAAATAAATTTGATTTCAACTTGATAAATTTTTTCTCTATCAAAAATCAAAAAGCTGACATCAAATTATTAAGAGGGCACATGCTTATTGGGACTCATGTTCAATCCAGACCCCAAGTATAACTATTGCTAAATGGTCCATTGCTAAAGATGCTGGAAAAAAATGGTTGGTTCTTTTTACCAATCTAGAAAGTACCTGACTCCTCCTGCCATGCTTTATCTTTACAAGTCACAGATTACACTAAAAAGGGAGTATTGCTACCATATATGGACTAGAGCTGCCTAATTCTCACTTTCCAGCCTTAACAGAGTTCCAAATTGTTTATACTGCCTTGTATTTGTAGGAAATAATTTTATTTTCCACCCTGCAGCCACCTTCCAAAAGTCACAATGTAGCAAGATTATTGCTACTCTATCACTATTTCAATGGCAAATGTTTTGACAAGCTCCATCCTTTAGTTCCATCAGTTCAAACCTTTACATCTACAACACACTATACTAGGCCCACAGAGTCAAATCACCCTCATTTCCTTTGTATTCCATTTGTAAGAAAGAAGTTCACTCAAACAGCTTCTTCCCAAGAAGCAGTACTTTGTGAAACAGGCTCATGTATGGATGACTCCCCAAATACTTCCATATTAACCTCTTCAAGTTTAGAGTTAATCATTATCTTTCCTCCATATCCTCATAATTTTCACTTTTTCCAACTCTTACTTTCATAACACACAGTTTATTCAATAATTTTCTACCATTAGTGACTCTTGGGCTTGGTTTTGGGTGAACATTAGTTAAAAAAAAGGTCTAGAAAACATGCTGTTCAAAATGGGAGAAATGAGCAGTTATTAAACCCATACTTGTATCCCAAATGAGAGTTGCAGAAAGGATTACAAAAGATAGTTATAATAAAAATAAGAAAATAAAAGTTTTAAAAGCAAAAAAAAATACTGCAAATATATTTACATCAATATTTTGGAAAATAGTTTTTTTTAAATATTTTATTGCTCACTCAATACAAGACCCAAAAGCCACACAAAGTAGAGGGTTACTGAATGGTTGTTTTATGGGTGTAAGAATTATAGATTAGGAGGAAATATAAGATAGATAATGGTTGACCCTAGACTAGAAGAGGTTAAGATTATAGTAGTCAGAGAAGTATCCTCTCAGGAGACTTTCATAAAACAGTGAATGGAACTTGCTTCTTACTAATGGAATATGAAGACCAAGAAACAAGAAAATAGTTGTGAATAATAATACATCAAAAAATGTATAAAATCTTTAAACATGTTACAGTCTGTTCATGTCCAATATTTGGACAGCAAAGCAATTGGAACCCAACATAATGACAGTATCACATTTTTACTCCATTCCAGTGTTGCTGTTTTAGCTTGTTGACATACAGTGATACAGGAGGCATTTATGGGATTATCCCAACTTGTCTGCTAGAGGATTTCAATTAAGCAGTATAAAGGCTGTAAAAAAGGAAAGAGCACAACCTTCCTTCATTTTTTCCTTTCTTCAACCACATGATGTTATAATGACAGTGTCTCATTTCATACAACACAATACTATCACAACACTATTTCCTTTTTTAAAAGAAAAATTCATTTAACCATAGTAAGATCTGCTACCACATAATATATATTTTCATCTAACATAAGAATATATACCTCTTTGACAAACAAATCAACACCACTGCATACTGATGACTCCCATAACAAACCTAATAACTTTACAAGTTTTTCAAAGGAGCATACTGTCTGTCACTTTCTCACTCCCAGTAGGTTAGTAGTTTGTTAAAGCATAGGATTCCTTTGTTACACTAAGTTCTATATTATTAAATTAAGTTCAGTACTTATCAAAGGTCAACTCAGAGTTTCATAATTTTTCAATCACTCATTGGGACTCTTCACAAGAATAATTGTATTGATCACAGAAAATCTATTTTATAATCACATATTTATATGCCAACATTCAAATTTAAACTCACAGATACAACTCTCTATCATCACAACAATTGAAAAGCTAAATAATTACATTACATTTATAACTTTAAATTAGCTACTTCCACTGATTTGTTAAAAAATTAAGATACCATGATGAAAAAATGCTCCAAACTTAATAAAAATAAATATTTGTTATTATTAAGAGGAAAGACTAAAGATCATATTTTTGATCCCTTTAAGAATGTTCAAAATTTTGGTTAAAAATCTTGCTTATTTTTTTTTGCATCAGCAGGAGAGCCAAAAGATTAGTATAGGAAATTTTAGTGTCATTTTTGCAGTGGAAAACACATTAATTTAGAAATTCTTGTAAAAATCAAATAGTTGTTGGATTTTACTGAAACTTTCAGGAATCATTCACAAATGACTTAAATTATTTTAGAAAGATGTTTTTTAAAAAAACTTGATAAAATGTTTTTATTTAAATCTATTGCCCCCAACTTATTTAATTTTATGGAATTTCAAGAAATTAAATTTTGTAGAGCTTAATGTTAAAAGCAGAACTTGGAGAAATGAAATTGTCAATTTCTTTTTGTAAAAAAGGACCCCCAGTTACCGAAAATCTGCTTGGAATCATAAAATAAAAAATGCAATAAAACTAAGACATAATTTTAGAAAAGCTTTTAATTGCTTATATGAATAAGATATATTATGGACATTACTGTCTTAAGAAAAACATTTTTTTGATTAATAATGAATTTTTACAAGAATTGTTTTTATTTTTTTTAATTTTAATTATAATAATTTATAAAGCTTTAAATCTTTTGAAATTCTGCAGAGGTTAGGTGATATTGCTATTAAGCAAAAAATATATTTACTAATCATAAATGGAAATGCTTATTACAATTTAGTGACCTACAATATTTTAAAAAGTATTTTGAATTTTCTGGTATGTCGATTTTTTTAAAAATATAGACATCTATACACAACATTATCATAAAATAACAACATACAGTAAATTTAAAGCTAAAGTGCCTAAAATTAAATAAAACATTAGAATATTAACATTTCATTAAATAAAACATGGAGAATATTTTTCCTAAATTTTTAAGATTATTGGGTAGTTAAAAACTATATAAAAAAGTTGCTCACATTATATTCTGCAAGTAATTTTTATATATACATCATAGAAAAAAATTAGATAAGCTTCCATTTGTCAGTTAAGCTGTCAACATTTTAAATAAACAGCAACTACCATGTTAAAAAATGCATCTCTGCAATATTTTAAACTTACAGTAAGAATTATTTGTTTCAAATCAAATTAATTAAACTTTAAATCAGCTAATATTGTTCAAATAAAGTTTCAGAAAAGTATATTTTATTTTTGAAAAAAATTTAATAAATAGAATTACATGGTGATGATGGATGGTTAAAAATGGCACTAAAATCAAAGCTATTTTGGAAATTTCAAAACAAAAACTCCTTTCAGTCAATTTGAATTAGTTTTGAAATACAGAAAAGGTATTTTTTACCATTCCATAGTGGACTCTTACAGGGTCAAATACAGGAATAAGGAGAAACAACCAAAGTAACAAACAACAAACACCAATATATAATTTAATTATAACAAGATGATACATAAAAACATTAATGCAAAGTAGTGCATGGAAAGATGTTTGCTATACATTTCTGTGGAAAGATGTATGTATTATATATCTGATATGAAAAGTCAAAGCACATTTAGCTTTAGTAATTCGCCTGAAATAAAATAGGGTTTTCTCTTTCCCTTTTCTCTCTCTTTCTTTTGTTTTATATTTCTCTTTTGTTCTTTTTACTTTCAGTTCAGTTTGTTTTGCCCATGCAGCAATATCTTTGATATATTATTTTTTCTTCACTGTTATGAGTTTTGACTCAAAGAGATGGTCATTTATTCTCTTCTTCACATATTCAGAAATGTAGAATTCATTGTTTGGTCACTGTATAAGTCATAGCCTGTGTCCAATTGAGTGGGTCACACATACTTGTCTTAGGTGATTATCAGATTTAGTAATTCATCTGTGCATTTGATATACGTAGCATAGTTTTTTCAGTTAAGTTGAATTGGAACTCTTTTTCATTGTGCAATTTCCTTTGCTTGATGGTAACAAATAAAATGAGATGTTATTTGCTTAAGATCTGTGTTTCAACTAATTCCTCATGATGACTCAACATTTCGTACTTGATCATGTGTTTGAAAATCTATATTTAGATCTCACTGGGACCTCTTACTAAGGCCATCTGCCTGTCTGACCTAATTGTTCTTGTAGTTAGCAACTATAGTAGACAGATTGAAAGAGTGTGGATGAGTGAATGTACTATATTATAGAAAGGTGGAAAGAGAGATGGTTTGCTAAGTGTAAAGTGTGTGTGGTTAGGAGTTTTGGCTACATAAGGATGTAATAATGTATACACCTATACATCATTATAAACAAATACAATTAAAATTACTGGTATTCAAAACTACCATGTATTGACTTAATAATATATACTTATATTTAATTATATTACATAATATAGAATTACATGAAGCAAACTTACAACATTAAAGATTATAAGTTAAATAATCTAGTTGTATTTGACTGATTCTACTAAATTTTGATTCTAGTTTTCATTCATATTTTTTAAACTAAGGGAGGTAAGTTCATTGTTTATTTATTTATTCATAATATTACTTTAAATTATCATATACAATATATCATGTCGTCCCATAAGTTCTGTCTGAATTTTAACTTTTTGTTAAAATGAACGAAATTTAAAGAGTATTTTATAATGTCTAATGGAGCTGAACATTATTTTTATGTTTAGATGCATTTAAACTGATCAAATTTTATTTCAGAGAACAATAAAATTAAATTTTGTTTGATTAAAACCCTGCTAACATGGAAGTACCAAAGAATCATTTGAGGCACATAATGCTTTATGAGTTCAAGAAAGGAAACTCAGT